ACTATAGGTTATTGAGTAAAATAATATAGATAGTACTATAAAAACAAAAGAAAAATAGGCTATGATATAACTATAACGGTTTTATTTAAAGAAAATTCAAAATATGTTAGAAGTTACAGATTTATATTTTGTTCTTTAATCCTCACAGTGTTGATGTCAAATGTCTGATTTCGTAGTTTCATACATTATAAAAACTGCTTTCAAATCTAACTTGATACTAGAATTAGCTGATAGTGGCAGATGCATTTAATGAGGCTTCTTACATTAGTGAACATGCCAACTTTAAGTGATTTTGGTCCTTTATCAGCCACAGAATTATGGCTTGATAAAAAAAATCGAAACAATTAAATATATAGTCACTAAACAAAAATGTTTTCGAAGTGTTTTTCCTGATGCTGAGAAAGATGAAGACTACGATAATCAATAACCTATTCAATTTTCAATTTTCAATTTTCCATATGTTTTTCAATATCATAAAGTCAATTATAGGTATTGATTTTTTAATATTTTACTACTGTTTTAAGGGTAGGTACCTTTTGTTAATATTAGTATTAAGTATCAAGAGTGTTAAAAATAACAATTTTAAATCGTTTTTCATGTAGAACACATTATGTTATTTGTAATAATAAATAAAATAAGTATAGAGTAAGAAAATACAATTTGCTTTCTCCCATATCTAATCATTACTCATTAGTAATACAATTCAATTCAAATACAATCGTGCAATCCAGAAAATCAGAAAAGTCCACTGGCTTGAAGTAAGTCTAAACATTTTGTAAACTGCGTTGTGCATATTACAATATAGGTACAATGTACACGTGGGAAATAATAATACTCTGAATGGTGATAACTGATAAGATTTTCATTAACAAAAAGTTAAAATCAATATTATTCGTATAAATACATCCAATTTTAATAAAATTTGATTTTCAAATGTCCATAAAAAGAAATTGGGTGTTGAGCCACATTAATTTCTTATAAGTGATTGAATTTCAAATTTTGTCGACATTGGATATTCACGATCTATGCAAACGATTTATCTTCCGACGGTTTTTGAGTTTTTATGCATTTGAAATTTTTAATTTTTTTTTCTATTAATGTCAACAAATATTTCAAAATTGTATTCTCGGTCTAAACGTCTGAAAATTTAAAATAAGATTCTTCATAAGTTGTTCTCCAGTCACCTAAAAATTTAAATAATTCATACCCACTTTGTACTGGTCATCAAGGTGACGTCGGACAATAAAAAAAAACCACATCATTCTAAAACCAATACATTTATCGCTCCTCTCAGAATATAAAATAAAAAATTCGCCAAAGATATAAAATATTTATTAGATTTTTGCTTTATATATTTGTTTGTCCGAATTTACAACATAAAATAAGAAACGACCGTCTCTAGGGTGTCAGCAATGGGATTTGAGTTGGACTCACACTAAAAAAAGTATTGTAAATACAAATACATGTTTATATTATTATTTCTAAAGAATATATTTTAGAATTATTCTTAAGTTCTACAAGCTTTTGGTTACACTATATTATATAATTTTGTATTTGAAAATAATTTTTTAATTTTTATTAAAATTTATTCCGAAACAGTTAGAAAATAATTGATTTTATATAATAATGTATTCTTTTTATAAATTACTTAAGAAAAATTACCATGAAATGTTATGATATTTAAAACCATAGGATTCTAAAGAATCAATCGTAATTAATATTTTTCAACACTTTATTTTTATTTGGAATGACGTATGTACTTTTCAATAATATGGTAGGATTAAATAAATAATTCGATAGTTTCATTTAATTATATATGCAAGTATATTATAGTAATAAACGGAAGAACAATTCAAAAATAGTCTTATGCCCATATGAAATAAAATAATTTAATGACGATCCAGAAACCGAGTGCGGCACTGGCGTTTTACTTTTATTAACTTATAAGAATTATAGCTTATGCGTAATTGCTGTATTTATATACAATCCTAGCTTAGGCCAAAGGGACTACTGCTTCCATTTCACACCCTTTAACCCGCTTTTGGGTAGGTACCCATAACATGGCCATATATAAATTCGTTATTTCGCTTAAGTCTGTATATTATATAGTGATAAATAATATGCGTTTGCGTATAAAAGTTAAATAATTGCTTATAGGTCTTCGATTAGGTATACCGTTCCGATCGACCCCCTCCCTCTCCGGTGTGTGGATTTATTGGAGTAATTGCTGGACTGTGGAAACTGTGCGTGACGCACGAAATACACATTTGATACTGGATAGGGCTTCAGTGTGACGTCACCTATCGACACTTTTTTTATTATGATTATTATTTGTTGAAAGCGATACGATCCAATAATGTAATCAAGTGAAACGCTGCGGCACGTTCGGTGGCCCGGAATCAGATTTACACCAATATAACATTTTATATTATGTTATAATATATAATATAGGATAATCCATACTTAACGCATTACACTCGTTTTATCATTAATTTTTGTGATTTAGTAAAAAGGATTTCCACATAAATATAATATGAACCTATTACAGAGTGTCTACCTTATTATTATTATTATTATTATTATTATTGTGATTTATAGATTTTTTAAATATTTTTTCTACACAGTTATCAGTATTTTTAATTTAGAAATAACTTTATTAACATAATTTTATAACAATTTAGTACAAAGAGCATTGGGCTATTTAAATACATTTTTATTTTTAAGAACCTTACAGTAAATATTGATTGATGAAACTGGCCTAGAGCATTAAATGAATCACATTGTGTATAAGGTACATATTGGTTCATGTAGTATATAGTACTGAGTATGACAAAATTATAATACGCTACAAACGTAAACGCACCTGTTGTTACCAAAGGTAAACACTTGCGTGTTATTTTGTTCCGAGTTGACATTCCCTGAAAACGACGACGGGATTATTTGCGCACACGCGATGGCGATGGTAGCTCGTAAGTGACATCCCTTAATCGGATCATTTTTTATATTTTTAATCACAACGAGCTACTATATGGGTAGTATGTTAGTTATTGGTTAAATTTTATTGGCACCTAATACCTATTTTATATCTATCGAATGAATATACGAGTTATGATAGATAATGACAATGACTGGAAATTGTCATATATTTTTTAGGTACTTAAATAATTGTTATATCATCAAACAAATCAAATGGATTTTGTAATTGTGTAATACAGAGTGCGGAGATAAAACAGCCAATTTTCAGATTTCAATCAAAAATTAAAAATAAAAATATTAATTATTAATATATTAAAAATATTTAGAACAATTGAAAAATAATACAATATATTATACACAATATAACATGCCATTTATTTAAAAAAAAAGTCCTCAGGATGACCGTCTCTTCTATCATCTTTGTACTGCAACATTCATATAAGAGTAACTTAACTTAGACTTTTTAACTCGTTAATGCCCCGCCTTGGTTTTGAACCTTCGAGTGTGTTTGGGGTATCTGTGCAGTAATGCACTATAGGGGCAACCAGTGGAAACTAACTTAGTATAACTAAAATAGGTAGGTATAGACGTCATGATATACATTTATATACCATCATACCTTTTATAGCACGAAACGATATACGAACTGATATTATAGTTAGCGATCGGAAACGCTGTGTCCTCGCGATTACGTAATTTTGTCATACGCAAATAAGTTCGCGTAGGTTTGATAATAACGCGTGGATTGAAGGGTGTACGGCTGAAGAGCTTTTGGCTGTACGATAATAATATTATGTATATTTGCCCGCTCGGGCAATCGGAAAATGGTCCGTGGGATGCGGTCGATGGACCGAACTTCTCAACACGGCTCCGCAGGTAAACGACGAGAATACGTGGTCTACCGGTGTTGTCTGAATGACGGAAAGTCGATAGCCAACGCGCGGTCGTATTTACACGTGTTGCGTGTTTAATAATAATAATAATAATAAAGGATAACAATTATAAAAAGGACAAACGACTATAGGTGTAAACGGTGGGTGGTTTAATATAATCAAATTGTGCGGAATGTAACCTAAAAATAGATTGTTTTTTTTTTTTTTTGTAAATAATAATAATAACAGGTGGGTATGATTCACAGTCCCGATTTCCGAACACTAATAATGATCTGTTGATGAAGGTAGTCCGTAGGCACTAGGCGTTTAGAAAACATCGAGCTTTCGAGTGTATTTATTATAATATCTCGTGTTAAAATGTCAATGATAATAATAAAGTCCGTCAACAATTGTTCAAGAAACTTGAGTATTCCATCTTTGCTCGTAAAAGTCAAATACACCACAGTTGTTGACGATTTGAAACCGATATTCTATAGAAGTAGGTATAGAACAAATAATATCATACTGTATTTATTGCTGAGGTCCCCGGAGTGAAGTGAAAAAATGTATATAATAATCGCAATATATAACTAATAATACATGGTATTATGGCCGTACTTATAGTGTTGACACCACGTGATAAAAAATTAAAAGGTCTAGATCTAGATCAAAATAAAGAAAAATCAATACATTTTATCAAGATAAATGTAAAGTTAACGTAGTTGTTTCGATTAAGATTTTGGTCAAAATAAATAACATGTGAAATCTATTTAAATTTTTTATAACACAACTATACTTTTTTCCAGACCCGAACTGTTTAAACACACCTAAGTAAACTTAAGTCTTACCACCCTTTACATGTAAATACCTACTTAATTAAATATTTTTAATGAAAAATGCCACCTTGGGCGTGGGCCTATGTCGCCTACCACTTGAGCCGGCCTGCTTTTTTCTAAAATACCGCTTTGACTGTCGATTGAAAATAAAACAATATTGTCCGAATATTATTTATAACGATTCGAATTTAGTATTTTTAGTTTCCTACTTACCTCATACCAAATATTTTATTACAATTTTTAAATACCTAGTATGTATCTTGTACTACTTATATTTTGTACTCTATAGTAATTAATATGACTATTTAATACTCACTTGACTTGACCTGTACCGTAGCGGTCTTCGATATTTTCTTCGTACCTTTCTAGGACAACATACACACAGTATCCGACCATATGCCCTAGAAAAATGCATATTCAGTAAATTAAATTTATTCAATGGAGTTAATTATTATATACACATATGTAGAAATGTTCTCCGTAAACATTATTACTGCTAAATAAATAAATTTATACATATTATTCTATATAAAAAAAAGAATAAATAATAACCATTTTATTTAATATTTTATAAATTTGAGTGGTTGAATATTTTATTTTATTTTAATTTAAATATGATCACATATAATATAATATTTTTTTTAGAATTAAAAAATTTTGAAAATTAAAATTCGCCTGGTTTGTTGTATATTTTAAAAACTATCATTTTGTTTATGAGCTGACTCGAATTTCTTGTCTCTTATTTTTGAACACAACGCCATTTTTCACAAGATACCATCCATTATCAGTTTTTCAACGCCGATGACAGTGATGGACTTTGCGATATTATTTAGGCTGCTTGTACTCAAAGTAGGTGGATAATCCCGTACTCAGTCATTTACACTACTCTCTCGTTTCTTAAATGATTGTTCTCTAAACGTTAGTAGACTTCCTGGGTTTTTTTATTTTTTTTTGTTCAAGGTACTATAATGAATTAAAGTAACCAAATTAACCCTTACTAACTCCCTCTCTTTATTTCTTCACTACAAAAGAATATCATTACATCAAATTTATTTATAACATTATTAAGATCTTTAAAAACAAACTTAAAGGGAAGTTATACAATTATATAATAATTTTAAAAAGTCTATTTAATTATAAAATTATCATAATAGATACACACAACTTTACACGTACTAAAAACGATTATAAGTACTTGATAAACTAACCATTTATGTGTAAATAAAATACGATTTGAATATAATAATTATGCTTAAGTATTAATGTAAATTATCATTATAGTTATTTTATAAAAATTTAAGCAAATACTTCAAAGTATATTTATGAAATAATATACTTATTTATTATTTTCCAATTCTATGAAAATATTAAGACATAATTTTGTATTTTTAAATATATGCTTTTTTAAATCGTTTTGGTTAATGATTTTAATAATAAAAGTTAAAAAATTCATTCACAGTACTTCTGTAGATATACATAGAAAAATATAATATTTTTGAAGAACGTAAATCTTAATAATTTTTGGTCAATATTTTACTGTTTGAAAACGAAATTTGAAGAGACTCTCATGCTCGTGAGCCACTTCCACCCAAACCCTGTATCTTTTATGTTTTGTTATAACTTATGCGTTGTGGAGAGTAAAAATTGAACCCATATTATCTAATATCTAGAGATAAACTTGAACATTTGATACACATATTTATAAATTATGTCAGTCTCAGTAAAATTTCCGTTTTTATGTGATGGTAATAGAACATAGAAATAATATGCAGCAAAGCGCATTTATAGCAGCGGCTATTGGAATAAATATATACACATTGTAGTCAAATATATATTCTCAAAAAATAAATAATAAATACATTTTTATATATGACAAATACAAACTTTCGAATTCAACCAGACAAAAAAGAACTATTTATATCCTATTTGTCAAAAATATTGTATGTACTATGTACAATGTACATTGTACCTAATTAATGAATGTTGCTATAATATACAATTTATTTATGTCTCACAAAACTAAGAACGATTTTAACTAAAGATTTTTGACATTTTTAAATACAGTTAGAATATTAAACAACACTTTTTCTTCCGTTTTTTACAGTTTAATACGTACTCAGATGAATCAATTTTTTTGATTAATGTGAAATATAACTTGATGCTTGGTGACTCTTATAGTTGGCCGGTAGATCAACTTAAAAATTTTAATTTAATGACATATTCCTCAAAAACAGGTGTTGTCTGCAGTATATATACGTATTTTTTTTTTAGGTAAGGCTTCAACACCATTGGTTATTAGCCTACATTTTTACAACATAGAGAGAGAAAGAAAACAGGTTGAGAGAATTAAAATGGAATATATACAGATATTTACAATTTATTGCTTAAATTTACGGTATGGAAGAACTTGTATATTGCTTCTGTGTTTTCTTCGTTGAATGCTTGTCGGAGAGAAGTTAGATTGAAGAAGATTTTCCGTGCTTTCGTGTATTTTGAACATATGGCGATGATGTGATCGATGGAAAGGTTTTCCTTGCATGCGTCGTTTATTGGGGCAGGTTCTTTGGAGATAAAGAAGGAGTGTGTGCGATGAATATGAGCTATTCTGGCTCGAGTTATGATGACTTCATCTTTTCTTTTTAGATTTGGGGGGGATAGGCCATTTTTTGATGGGAGGCTTGATATTTCTTAGCTTATTTGTAAGAGGGACATCGGTCTAGTTTTTCTGCCAAGTTTTGAGAGTTTTAAAGTTGATGGGGGCTATATAATATACATGTATTATTTATATATATATATATATGTGTATATTATACTATTATTGTTACTTTGCTGGAGATACATAAACAAACTGTATTTTTAAGCTACTTATTTTTGTTTTGCTTTTTACATTATCAAACACGTTTTTCCTAATTTTATAGTGTGCAATTTAGTTAAAAACCATTATTTTAAATTATTCGTTATTCGAACCATAATTGCAATTTAAATAATTGGTAATATTTTCGAACTGCAATAATTTTTATGTAAACGACAGCAGATAATAATACATAATATTATTAAATTTTTCAAACCAAAATCAGCCTCTAAACAGTCTAAACAGTCTAAACCACTAAATATTACATAATTAAAAAAAATGTATTAAACTACAGAGTATTTCAGTAGATATGTGTCCTTGTACACAATATAATCTGCCTACCTACTATGTGTATATTTATGTACATTTCTCCTGCCTAATTTTTAAACTTGCTTAACTATTTAAAATACTTATCGAAAATTATAAATTAAACTTTTAAAATATTTAAATAAATTAATGTTAAAATCATATTGTGTTTTATTGCTAATATCAAGTTAATTTTAAATTAATTAAATTAATCTTGAACCTCCTATAAATGAGTACGTTTTTATTCTGACTCTTACAAAATGTAGTTTCATTGCATATATACTAAATAATAAGAGCCGATTATCTAACATTCTTCGCTCTATTATCGCAAGAATCCTTGTACACTAAATATATGTTACCGATTCCAAATATGAAATCGTAAATGAAAAATAATAATAATACTTTACTTTAAGCTAATATTGTTCTTGTGCTTATTACAGAAACTAATTTTATCCAATACTTATACTGTTGTATATACATATTCCAGGTTATAAGCTATTTGAATCTAACCATACTGACAATCTTCCGCATGGCGGGGATAGCATTTTTATAAGTTCAATAGTATAGTATTTCAATTTCTAAGCTCTTCAAATTTCTGTTAAAATTTTCTACAATCGTTGTATTTATAAACTTAAACAATATTGGAATAATATCCAATAGTATTCTCCCCTGAAAAACAATATTAAGAATACAAATTTCTCTACTTTAAAACAATATTAGTAATAGGTTTATTATCGGCGGTGACTACAACACCAAATATAAAAATTGGGGTTGTCGATCAAATAACCTGTGAGGCTTTGTCTTTCAAAACTTTGTGCAAAACCAAATTCATACTTCCCAGGAATATAAGTAGTATTATATCAATGAACCTGACTTGTATAACCCAATACAAAATAAAACTATTTGGCTTATCCACTTAAAATAATTTTATCTCTAAATAAATCCATTTGAAAGTCACTTATTCGACTTTTTTTTACAAATTGTAGAAGTCTTGGAAGTCAACGAAGTAAGCACTCTAATTCAAAGCTATAATTCTATCCAATAAAAAAGAATGATGACAGTACTTTTGCTTTATCTGACCACGAGAAAACTGAATTATTTAAATATTATCTTTATGACATTTTCCAACCTCATCCCGACATAATTGTAACCCTACAAATATACCTCGACTATAACTGCACCCACTTTCCCACCCATTTAAATACCTTACGTAAAATAACATTAAATTAACTATTCATAAGTACCTTTTCCAAAATTCTCCCGGTTTTGATATTTAATCACAGCCGAAGTAACCAGACGTTTACCAAAACAAGCTGATGTGGACTTAGAGTGAGTAATTTACTGTCTTATTTAATAATCAATTTTTTTTTAAATTGCTCCTTAGTGGTAACTTGTATACAATTATTTTTACGCTATATATATAGGAATTCAAATAGTCTATAAAATTACAAATTAAAATATCAACTACAACAATATTAATAATATGAGTTCTATGTAATTTTAAATTTCGATTTGGAAGTTTGAACACTATTTTAAATATACGAACAACGGTAATAGTTGTACTCTTAGAATACAATAATGCATGAACAATAAAATGAAACCTTTTTTTTATTGTCTTCACAGTTTGTTATAAAATAGATTGTTAATTAAATACTTATCTTATGGTAAATAAACAAAAAAAAACGAACTAAAGAATGTTCGAAATGCCGATTGCAATGAATAGTGAATAATATGTTGTTAATTCTTATCCATTGCTTTATATGATTTTAATAGGTAACTGATGTAGGTACTTTATATTTTGTTGAAATTTGATAAAATGTTGTCAAGTCATTGATGATTAAGGAAAAGCATATTTTTGTTGATCCTATCATAAAGAGATGAACAAAATAAATTAAATCAAATTCAATTAGCTTCAATTTTGAAATTAATTTCCTAGTGTTGGATATAATTTCTATCGGATTGAATTCGAAAAATGAATAATTCACGTTTGGATGCATTTGTCAACAGATTTATCATTCACTGATTACTCCCCCATATTGTATGCATCAGTCATTTGAACGTTTAAATGTAACCAGTCAAATACTGATAAAATAAAATAAATATTATGTATTGTATGATGTGTGTATATTGTACGTATTATATATATATATGCATTATATAAATAACGTATGATAACACGTTTATATGTACCATGTGGTATTTACGTTGCCACATCTATGTATATTGAGTATTATAATTTCCATA